TTTACCTTTAGAGTACACGTCAATCTATTGGGCTTTAAATCTTGATCTTCCATTGTTCTCGATCCATCTACTACCACATACAGATGGCGCATCTACCAAAAACAAAAAAACAATTTCAAACTCATTTTGTACCAAAAATGTAAGAATTTTAAGTTTTATATATATATACATACATTTATAATCTTTTTAAAGATTGTTAGTTTACTTTCTTTACTCTGTTAAGCAAGAATGTTTCCCTACCCAAACTAGTTTTGTATCAATAAAGGAAGAAAAGCAGTAACATACCATTCCAAGCCGAACTTGTCCATGGTGCTCAAATACTCTGTTAAAATTAGGTACAAATTTCAATGAGATACCATATACCACCCTAAAAATTAATACAACTTTCTAACTAGCTTATATTTTCTAATGATATACAAAGTGTTTATAATTACTGAACTATTAACTCTTTATAATTACAGGTCTTAAAGATCTGCTTCCCTGCTGAGGACAGGGTAGGTCCCTGGGACTTCCCCCAATTCAGAAGGTAACAGGCCAGTTTCCATGAAACACAGTGGAAATGGCACACTGCACAGTGGGTGACAGGTGCACAGAAAGCTGAAAGGAATTTTATCTTTTGTAACACACTTATGAAAATGGACATACCTTTTTCTCTTTGCCTTGAAAAGAATATCTTCTATTGTAGCTTTAAGTGATCCAGATTCATCTTCTTTAAGAATCTCCCTAAGGAGGAAATAAAATGTATGACAAATTGCCTCCCTGAACAAGTGGCCCCTTTGCCATGAGAGAATTAAATGGCATCCGGCAATGAGTACTAAACATTTGATCAGAGTCCATGAAATAATTCTGATCAAAAGGGAGACAATACAAAACAGAATTATAAGTCCTCATGGAATCCATGAAGGCTAGATGAAGCCCTAAAACATCTGCCCTGAGATGATCATTAAACCTTACACCAAAAAGATCCTTTGAAGTCTTCTTAAAATCTAACAGTATTTTTTTTTTTTTGCTTACAAAGACGTTTGTTTTGAGTACTGTGCTTTTCCCCAGTTCTATCTGCACAGGCTCAAACTGACAACAGCTACGGGAAAGATCTGACGACACTTAAGGGGCAGCGAGTTTATGTTAATGGGGAAGAAGTAATTTCAGATGAGGAGAATGGATGAACAATTCAAAATGTGATGTTACTGAAGTGTACATGTAGAAACTATTGAATTGGCTTACTTTCTGTTGTGCATATTCTCAACTAAAAAATAAACCAGATTTTAGAAATCCTATTAGAAATAATTATTTGTTTAAAGATATGTCTAAGAGAAATGAATATGTCTACACAACAATTTGTACATGAATATTCACCACAGCATATGCAAATAAAATGTCACATATCACATAATGGAATACTATGTAGCAACAACAACAACAACAACAAACTACTGTTAGATGGGCCTTGAAAACAGCATGCTAAGTAAAAAAAGCCAGACATCAGAGACCATGTAGTGTTTAGCTATATTAGATGTCTAGGACAGGTAACTGTATAGAGGCAGACAGTAGAATAGTGGTTGCCTAGGGCTGGATGTGAGAAGGACCTCACAGGTAATCCCAATTTAAGAGCATCCACTTTTAAAAAATCATCTTATCATTAGTAGTATGCACTAAATACAATGTTGCAATATGTAATTTGTTACTGTTATCCTGCTCAGATGTTCACTTGCAAATGTTCAAAGATTGGTTTTATAAAGATACTGACATAATATTCAATAAGGAAAACTTAAAAAAAAAA